GACCCCCTTAAGCTACCGATCTGACAAGGCTATCATATATTTTATTGATCTACACAGCAAGGGCTTTCAGAAAATGTATGATAGCATTTGCCCCCCAACTTGGTAATGAAATGTCAATTTTGGGCTCTGGGCTCATGGACTACATAACCGAAATGTGCAATATTGCAACAGGGTATACTTTTTAGTATATTGGGACAGGGTGTATTTTAGGGCGCAAAGCGGTTTTCGACAGGGTCAGGTTTTCAGGTCCCCGAGGCACCCCGCTACCCAGTTCCGAGGCGAGTGCCCCCCGGCTCGTATAGTGATATACATAGCATGAGCATATTTTACTTGGACATAATTGGATAATACATTTAGTTAGTACCTGATTTAACTGGAATATTTCTAATTCCATTTTGCTTTCATCATGACTATCGCATACTAAATTCATCAATTTGCATGACATACGTTTGTAAGTATAAACTCACCATACAGAGAGCCCGTGCAAAAGGCGTGCATGTCCAATAGGAGCCCAGCAGGTATGTTATTATTCGACACAGGCGGAGCTCTTGTCTGTCTGAACAAGACTGCTCTATTTAGTATTCAGCGCAGCTACATAGAGGCCTGGCTAAGTAGAACCAGCGAGCGGTTATCAACGAAAGCTTTACAATTGTTTTGGTAGACCCATCACCTGGCGCAAGCTTATCCTTTGCATCACGCATGCGCATACACATTAGTAAACATGTATAGTTCTAGATATACTAGTCAGATATACTCCGGTAGTAAAAGCGATAAAGTATGATGCGAGGGCAACCTCGACACATCGTTTTCCTAAAATATTCTTAACAGAGTGAATTAACTAGATATTTGCACGTTCTAGATCCTTGGGAATATCTTTACAATGGCTAACCATGGCTTATGAAAAATAACTTATTTACAATTATAATACGCTATATGTGTTAACTGGGACAGAAAATCGTGCTTGTAAGAGAAGTTGAATTTTTGATCGTACGGCAAGAGTTAAAAAATTAAGTCAAGGTTACAGTGCAAATAACAACATATTTAGTTATAACATTGTAACGATTTAGAGGTCGTTGTCATATAGCTTTGGTAAACTGTGGCGTTATCCTTGTCGTGTTTAGTCCGATGTTGCTAGTTTACTATCATTCTTACAAAATAAAATAAAACTATTAAAACAGCAACAATGGTTATACAATATAATATAATATAATATAATATAATATGATATTTTGATTAAAGCAATACTTTGACACAGACTCTTTATGTTTCGCTGTCATACTGACAAAAAAAACTTTCGTGGCTTTGTTCTAACCACATTTAGCGTTAACTCTCCATGCACTCCCCTACATCTCATGACCCGACACTTTCTAATGCGTGACCAATTTATTGCAGTAAGCCAATCTATAACTCTACAGCTATTATCTGTAATACATAAAAAAGGTGCTGATCTGGGGATCACAAATTGCTAATTGCAGAATTCCCCCCAACGACTCTGTCCTTCATCTGTCACAACTGTTCAGAATATCTCGCTCATACTCGCGATCTCGTTAAGACGGCTTCTTAGCCAGGGACGCGCGTATACGCACACTATAACTATCACTTATTACTGCCAACGTGCATTTGCCACCTGACGTATTGTCATCTTAGGTTTGCTTGATAGCAGAAGGAGCTTCCGGCACCGTGACAAACATCTCTCGAAAAGTCTCAAAGGAAGCGAACTCTATGCTAACATTGCATTAGCGTCGTTCATCTGTGAGTGTTGGTGGATGTCGTACCATGGGACATCAGCAACGGTCGAACCCGGCGAGCGGACAGAGAAAGAGCCAAACATTTCTTCGCCTTCACAGCATAAGTTGGATCGCGGCCAACAGAAACGCAACTCTAAAGCCGTGGCGCAACAGTTGAAAAAATGAACGCACGCTACAACACATGGACACATTCTTACATGATGATTTATGTTATTCTTATCTATATCTAATTTCTCTTTTCGCATGTTAAATATTCTGACAAAGCGCATGTTTACTCAATCACGTCGAAACTAAAACCCGAAATCTCGTCATTTGCACATCCTCCCATTTACCGGATTTCCAAGGTGACCGTGCAACAGCACCTTGTGTAGAGACAAGGCAGAGACAATATGACCTTAATCGACCTAACCCTGGCGCATCTGTCTAAAAACGCGTAAGAATCTTGCTAAGACATTCACCTGAAGCTTACGCGACCTAGCCCTAGCCTCTAACTATTTACATTCATCAGATCCATAGGTGTGTTTGTTGGGCAAAGGTGCTAATGTACACTCGAGAGATCGCTTCGGGTGAAGTTCATAATTCACTTTCGTTCTCTGTTTTCATTTTACCGACGCCCATTCAAAGAAATCAAAACCTGTTACGAGAGACGAACGCCCGCGCGCGCACACACATGCACACATATATCTTCGAATTCTAATCTAGCTGCCACGACTCGATGATATTAATCGTTCGCGCCCGCGTGTATAGGACATGAGGGCTCCGTGACGCGAATGTCTAAGCAGTGCACACCGCAGCGCAGAGAAAGTGAAAACGCTCGCCTATAGTACTAGGTCAGTGACTCGCATGGCTCGCCAGTCGCGCCGGGCCCCGCCAGCAGCTTTGCGGCAGCGGTGAACTATAAGGAAGCTTTATCAGCTTTTAGGCGAGCACACAGGAAGAAGAGGTTCGCTCGCTCTTTTTCCTGATTCGGCTCTTGCACTTTCGTGGGAAGATGAGCTTGCGCTCGCGTCTGCGATGGCGACGCGCATGCGCAGAGAAGCTCGCGGAAATGACGGAACCGATGACAGGCAGGCATGCAATACTGCCGGTAGACGTTAGCTGCATATGCGCGAGTTTCTTGACATTGTTGAGGTATGTGGGTGTGTGTATAGGGGGGGGGGGAGGGTTGCATTCGTATACACTTTCGCTCGCAAAGCTTTTCCCCTGTTTCGTGTGTTACGCTTCCCGAGCTGCTAAAAACAACAACATCGCGCGCGAGCACACACACAAGTGTTGACGATGGCGATAGAACGTGTTGTAACCCGCTGTGTATAGATGGCGTAGCAAAAGCGAGAACTTTCACTTTCGGAGCGCTGTCGTAAAAGTGTATAATCCTCCGATTCTCTGCGTCGTGAAAATACGCTAATATCCCCCTAATATGTCCGGCGTATTTCAGGAGAGGTCAATAATCTAACCAGGAACTTGGCCATAAAGCGGTGCTTATGGTTTATTGGGCTGGCCGAAAAACGTATTCCGAATTCCGAGCATTTTCTTGGCACCTATACAGGATAGGTCACAGCATACCCAGAGGGTCAGGCAACGGCGATTATAATAAAACGCGTACACCGCCGAACCTTTCATCGTGTGGAGTCAAATCGTCGTCGGCATATCTGACATTTTGATCGGACGTACGGACGAATAGATATAAAGGACGGAATGGATCAACCCCCCTCCCTCCACCCATCCCTCGATAATTGCGGATGACGGATCAACGGACTGACAGACAGACTCACGAAGAGACGGAGGGTTAATCGCTGTGACGATCAATTTGGACGACATCACGACAGATTGATATGACAAGCCGATTTCTTTAGTTTTAATTTAATTGTAGCAGTTCAATAATACTAAGAATTGTTGTAAAGCAATTGCTAATATAAAATCAGAATGCATATGATATTTAATCGAGAACACTGTTCAGTGGCGCATGTAATACTCTATAGGGAGGGATAATAAATTAAGATTAACACTGATAACTGGGTAGGACAACGTGTACTCGTAATCCCTGACGTGTAATCCCGGCAATGCCTCACACCATACCTCGGATCATTACGCAGCGGCATCTAATCAGGGGGTGAATAATGACAAATTAATGACAGACGACAAATGAAAAATGAAATGACAAATGAATAACAATTTTTCACTATTCACCCCTGGTTTAATACTAGCCCCTGTGATGAGAC